CAAACATCATAGTACTTAAGAGTTGCTGGGCTAGTTATAAATTGTTTCAGTTGTTCATATGCTTTCTGATGCTGATCAAGCCAATATCATGTTACATCATTGTGTATCAACTCGTACAATGGTGCTGCAATTTCACTAAGGTTATTGATGAACCTTGATAGATAATTGATCATACCTAAAAAACTATGCATGGCAGCTGGACCATCTGGAACAGGCATATCGTTGATCGCCCTTACCTTCTCCTACATAGCTGACTTGTTTCAATCGGAACTTGCATTTATCAGGATTCAGCTTTAAGGAGACTTGTCTAGCCCGATCCAATACTTGCTTTAAGTTATCATCATGCTCATCATTACCATTGCCTGCTACAAATATATCATCTACAATTATTTCGCATGGATATCCAGCAAATATCTGTTCCATTGAACATTGATAGACATCAGATGCTGAATTTATACCATACGGCATTCGAAGAAATCTGTACCTTCCGTATGGTGTACTAAAAGTAGTACGCAATGAGGATTCTGTATCTAGTGGTATTTGCCAAAATGCACATTTTGCATCCAGTTTCGAAAACACAGTAGCATTTGCCATATTTGCTGCTACCTCTTCCACAGTGCGCATAGGATAGTGTCAATGGTCAAGAAATAGGCTATTTTATTCGCCCGTAATTTGTACAAAGATGTTATTTTTTGTAAGCGTATAAAGCACTATTCAAATTAAATGTCCCATGCAATTTCCAATTTTGATTCTTAAACTCAAATTATCAAAAATATTATGAGTATGTAAAACGTAACTAGGAATTTGTTTTATCTATAAAGTGTAAAAGCCTATTTTTTACTGTAAACGTAAAATGCCATCTTTATTTCCTGTAACCTGTACGAGCTGTCCCCTTTGCTCTCCCTCTTTTAACGACAGAGGTAATATTTTTTACCTCCATGTTCTACGGTTATAAAGCCATACCAAGGCAAATTCAGAATTGCAGATTGCAGAATAACTGGAAGTACTACATGATGTCATCGTCAGTTCACTTTTTTGCGATAACGATGTTCCTAGATGTTCTTGCGTTGTTTGCCATTTTAAAAATTGCATATCGAAATGAATTGTTATTATAGTAAATCTTGCAAATGGACGTTCAATACAATGGTCATTCGGACGCTTAGGGACTGTGGCCTGTGCTAAGCGTTCGCGCTCCATTTGTTAGCCTGTGCTCAAGATCTGGACTGGGTCTTAAAAAACGATCAGATTTAACCAGTATTTAGCGTTTATAACCCCATGCTAAGCGTTCGCG